CAGCACCTCAGCTCCAGTGTGTTGGACGTCAACGGACCCCACCTTTAAAAAGATACATAATACTTGTACCTGTATTCCGTACGAAATAGGTACATGGTACGAGATGTCCCTGAGCTGGCGTGAGTCTACCTTGTAAGAATGTCTAGAGGAAGGAACTATGAAATACCTGACTCAAGTTAGAACAAGCGACTATCTTACTTGTTCCCTTTTATCTTTCCCCCGAATCAGGCAGGCCACATTTTATTCTCTTACATACATAGTACAAGTCCCTAAGTCACTAAATCACGATGAGAGGGTCAGTCGGAATCCTGTTCGACAAGTCAGAACGATAGATATGTCACCCCCCGTGTTATCTGCTTGGCTCGCTTGCAAGGTAGTCCGTTCTGGTCTTGGCTGTCATCAATATCCGTTGTTCCCGTCCTCTTAGATCATTATTATTACTTGGGCATTCAGATAGCTGTATAATAATATTAATAATATATTCTCCCTACCTCGCCTCCTTCATCATTGTAATCTTCTACACGTTCCCTTCGATAATACCTAATAAACACCGCAGGACCTGTCTGATCCCGAGGTATTCAAGGAGAGAAGACGTATACATCATATACATCATCTGGAATTACGAGTTAATCGGTCGTCACAATACGCGTTGTCATCATCATCATCCATCCATCTCAGCTTGGCCCCCAGAGCGTTCGTGTTGCATGTCTTCGTCGTACTTCCTGTAATGCCTCGTTATTCTCACCAGATCCGGCTACTCGAAGAGCTGATGCGCCTAAGAGAGGACAGGTGGTAACAGTTGAAAACCCGAGAGCTGCAAAGATCTGCAAAAGCGACATCATTACTTTATATTCAGTTTCCACGTCTCTGGGTTCCTGCCGTGCATCTGGGCTGCATCCCGCGTTCGACGAGAGATTTCGCTATTACGTACGAGAATCGTGAACCCCTGGCGGAGCCTGCACACGACCACCAGTACTGCACGACCACCAATCCCATACTCACTTAGCGTACGATTCCAGTTACGGTAGCTTGTTTCCGATTCGGTGGACGCGACGGGAGAAAAAAAAGAACTACAGCGAACTACATCACACTTAGATCCACCGTTCCTTGCCGCCCCGCTAGACTGACTAGTAATTGCTTTAATAGGGTGACGGATATTTCCTTTTAGTAACGGGAACCGTTTAAAAAGTCGGGCTCTAGCTCGACCCTGAGTAATGATGATGGTCCCGAGATCCTTTTTATACTCACAAAAACAAACCGTGCCCCCAACCTCTCTAACGGCTACGACACCGAAGGTATCTTCACCTAAGAGAAAGGATGCACTATCGACGGAGAAGGACGTCGCCTCTTCTAAGTCCGTCGACGCTAGAATAAACTCAAAAGAGCGAACCATGGGTAAGCGGAAAGGTTTACAACCAGACAGGTTGTCTCCGCCAAGCGGCAGCCCGCCAAGTGCGACAACGACAAATGCTGTCGCGCGACCAAATACTCCTTCGAGCGCCGTACAGATCCCCATTAGATCAAAGCATGACACCGCGCACTCGCACAGACCGCGACCCCATGCGCACGCGCATCGAGCTAACTCTTCCCCAAATCGAAACTCTCGAGATGTGCACTCACCTGATGCTATCCCGCCGTCGGTGGCGGCATTGCTCGCCATCACCACTATTCCCCCACCTAAAAGGCGTGGGGGATCGCGACAAAGGCAATCTAGGGACTCGTCTAGAGACTCGCGGATGACGGTAAACTCGATTGTACCTCGGTCTCAAGTATCAGAGAAAGAGTTAAGCCGGGAACTGAGTGAAGAATTCGCACAAGATTTGAGCGATATCAGCTTCACATCCTATGATCGCAGCCCGATGGAAGTTCTGCTCAGCCCGCCGGACGAGCTCGACGAGGATGAGGCATCTTCAAATAGCGATAGCGCATTCGCATCACCATTCTCAACCCGCGCAGCATCGTTTGACAGTATACCCTCCCTAGGCGATTCGGTTGGAACTAGTCTAGTTACTTCTATCGACTCTCCCGTTACCCCACGCGGGAGAAGGATACGACCACCGAGGCGTTTGCTAGAGCCGGTGTCTTCGCCTCCCGGTCAACATTTAGAACATCCGCTTTCTACTATGAATAATCTAGACGTTGACGAGCTTGATTTCAGAGTTTTCACCCCAAAACCAAGCCCAACAGAGCAGAAACAGACTACTGGGCTCATGCCACTTAAATCCGTCTTCAAATCGAATTTGACGGCGTCGCTTCGTGCACTACGCTCTGCCGCCCGATCATTATCTAATTTTACTTCTTCGTCGATACCCCCAGATGATTTCCTTACTAGATCTATACTCACAATCGACCCGCGAGTCCCATTCACCGACGAGAGAATGCCTCCTGTCTTAGGAGAAGAACCCAGCGAAGCCATGCGTCGTTATCTAAATCCGACCAGCGTACGCCCAGAATCGCGTGTACGGTCAACATTTCGCAGTTATACAGCGTCTATTCAGATGCAAACCTATAAGGTGCAACGATCAAGGAGTGCCCCGGCAGCTAGTCGTTCAGGCGGTCAAGCGGGCAATTCTAACAAATCACCGAACGCGTATGTCCTTCCACCGGGTCCTCGCCAGCGGGAAATTCGGGAGAACTCGGATTTCATTCGAATTGCTGTCTTGGAACACCTAATGCGCAAGCGCGGTAAATTAGACGACCAACGCGAAGGACACGCACGGTGGCTTCTACCGCCAAGGAAGTCTACAACAAAACCCTACGAGATTAGACCCGATGGTGTCCCCGCGAGATGGGTTGCAATTTCACAGGACGTCATCTAAATTCGGATGGAATAGGCATTGTCCGTCATCAGCATACCGCTACGAGGTACATTACGATCATCGAGACTGCAAAATTTATGACTACGCTCGAGCACGCTCGTGGAGATGATTGTAAATAAAATTTTGAGGGTTCAATATTGTGGGTTACCAATTTTGGCTAACAAGTGGTCGAGACTAGATGGAGGTGAAAGGAAAGGCCTTTGTCCCACATCCTACGTCAACGGCGAATACCGACAAACACATTAGCTTCGACTTCCACGAATCCGAGCCATTTTATTACTCCGTCTTGCCGACATCGCCAGTCTAACGGGATCCACAATGGCATCCTGGAATGTGCAAGCTCAACAACGCTATGATACATAGTTAACGGCTTGTGGGGTGTATTCCCTGCCTCTTTCTTCTCCCTAGTCAAGGGCACTGCCGAGGAATACTTCGACATGCGACCTAAGCGACTTGATTAATTTTTTACGACCGGGTTAGGATGTCGAATCGTGTATCCCTTGGGTTGTCGCATGCACAGCACACAGAGTGCATTATCTCGCAGGGTCTTCCAATGAATCAAGTCTATGACGACCGTGAAGCCCCGCAACATCAATTTGGCGGGCACGAGATAGATCTTTCGCAGGTTTAGATTTCTTCTAGACCCACGAAAGATGGAACGTATCAGCGGTCAGAACAAAAATTGCGCATCCGACATGCCATCCCGCGCTCCTTGACATTTATGTCGAAACAGAGTACACTATGCATATGGCCAGTCTGGTTTTCATCGCGTAGCTGTTGCTACGTTGATATTGAATTTATTTCTATACTGTGTACCATTACCAAAATACCCTTGACAATTTTCTTTCCCTTCTCATGTTACGATTTGGTACGGGTTCATGTTTGTTTCTTAACACTTCACTTACAGCATCAGGCGAGCGAATTTTTGATACGCATTTGGGAGGAGTAGAACAGCTTCTATTCTCGAACGCATTGAGGAGGCATTATTCGGATAGGTTGGGTAGCCATTGCATTGCCCGGCGTTGGACTTGAAGGTCATTTTTTTTAATACATTAGGCAGCTTGGAGCGGCATAAATGGGGGGGGGGGGGGGGGGGGGTCAGACATCTGAGACGTACGATTGTGCGCACATTGCGGGAATTTAGATCCGCCCTAGAAGACGCAGGGACTTTTGGGCCACTTTGGACCCTAAAGAGGGTTTGGGACTACTCATCCTGCATGAGTGCCCAACTAGGAAGGAGATTGGAACGGTTATAGCACGACGAGGAATTTGGTAGAGCCTATAAATCAGAGGCAGATACACTCAGGTGCTCTAGACGGGGCGTGAGCCCTAGAGCAAAGCAAGCGATTTGCAAAAAAATATAGGTAGCGAAACTCGGAATTTGAGTGTGCTATTTCACACGAATTACTATATGAGTTAAATATATATATAAGTCTTAAACCCCTATTGAGTGATGTTGATCTAAGTCAAGTCTCATGGAAAGTGGACACTCACTCATAAGTCTATAATGAAATATACACGTGTTTATCCCACTACGGTTAATATTGTCTCAGATTAGATTCTTATAAGTGACGTAGTGAAAATACTACCCACTATATACTATAGCTTTTGAGTGAAGGGAGAGTATACTAAGGAATTCCTCAGGTCTACCGTCTAGGTAGCATATTGGTTTTATAGATTAGGTAGGTACCTATCTAATGTATTTCTCCTCAATGATATTCTGTATTCTCTTATCACAAACCCTTTGCTAGATTAACTATATTTTTATTTTCGTTAAGACTAATTTCCTTGACACGCGACAATTCGGCACGTTATCTAATCGAATAAGATCTCGAGTAAAAAGTAAGACATTAGTGTTATGTCTCACTGCGTATGTACGCAGTATGTCCCCTTAATACCAACCATAATATACAAACCCGAAGCTTTCACAACAGGAACGCTTATGCGCTTTGGGCAATCACTCACGAGACCTTCTAAACGCGGGGTGAATACGAGTGAGAAATTCAAAACACAAATCTCATATGTGAGTGCTTTCATCAAGCTAGATATCAAATATATGAGTGAGTATATACACGCGTATTCAAGCCGGAAAATATCACTTCCCAAGCAAACTTATACTAGCTAATAACGCCCACCCAACGGACCACACGCGTCAACGCTATCCACCGCGCGCGCAAGCCCTTAAGCAATGTAATCCCGATACACCTTCTTAGCATCACGGCGCACCCGCCGCCCAGCCTTACGAATACCCCTCCAGACCTTCTCCGTCGTCGCAATCTCGCGCTTCTCGCCGGTAGTCGCAGCAGCAGATCTAACGTGGTCCGCCATCCAAGCAGCCCACTCCCAGGGGGAACTCGAGCCGCCGGGCAGCGAGTTGAAGTACTCCCAGCCTGCCACGCCGCCGAACGTCGGGTTCTCGCTTGTAAGCTCCTGGAGAACCGGGGCCTCGTTGTCCAAGCTGACGAAGCCGTACCCGTTGGACGGGTCGGTGACTAAGCCCAGTACTACTTTTTCGGCGGGGAAACCGTCGTCGAGGATGGCTTCGTAGTCGCCGGCGCTACTGGCGTCGCCCCACCCGTAGTAGAACTGCGCGTTGTAGAAGGCGATGGAGCTACCGCGTTGGTTTTCTAGGTCGAAGTAGTTGAAGCCGCTGAGGTTGCCGCCGCCTTCGGTCAATGCAGAAGCTACGGGAGCAAGAGAAATGATGAAATCATTACCGAAGTCCTTCTTGAGCCTGTCGATCAGCCGGATGACGCCGTCTAATGAAAAGGCCTCCTCAACATCCAGGTCCAGACCCTGCAGGTTGTAGGTGCCGATCATGTCGTGTAGTGGGGCGTAGAACTTCTCAAACGAGGCGTCGTCGCCGTCAAGACGCTGGTAAGAACCTGCGGCGGCACCGCCTAGCATGCCCATTACAGTAACGCCCTTAGCTTGTAGCTGTGCCGCGTCGGTCCAGACTGCGTCGAACATGGCGTTGTCAGGGGGCTCGTTGTTAAGGTGGACGGTGGCGTCATCTTGGATGTGGATGGCGGCGATCAGGACATGGGTGACAGAAACCTCAGGGGCACTGTCGACGAGCGGTAGCAGCGAGATATGCGCTGTGGCACTATTGTTGGCTTGGGTCGTCTGGTAGTAGACTACGACGCGGTGGTCGTTGGCTACTGCTGCCGAGGCACATGCCACTGGGACGAGGAGCGGCATGAACCTCGCCATCCAGTTGGACACTTTGCAAAACAGCATCTTGGGCAGCTGTTATCACCACTCTTTCTTATCGAAGGCTGTAAGGTAAGCTGCTGGGTGCCTACAAGAGATGAGGGGCCTGTAGATGTTGATTGACTATGGCAGAGCTTCCTTTAGTCTGAGCTGCCTGGGACTCGTCTCTCTAAGTACCTGAGGTTTAACTCGCAGTTCGAATAAGCTCTCGCTGCGCGGATCCTCTAGGATAGGGCTATGCACCGAGGGAGCGCAGCAAGCTACCTTAAGTAGCTCCTAGAGAGGCGGTATGGCGGCTGCTCCGTTCCATGGGATCTGCATAGTATAATTAAGCAGACATGGGTAATGCCGGACGATCAGTTGAAACATTTTGTCAGCACGGGGGAGAGTTTGTCATGGCTGGCGTCGGTATGCAGGTAACCTATTTCCTGCGAACAGCTCGACGGCTACTTGCCATGATGCCTGTCATGAAATCCACTTTGACGCGGGAGTCTTTGAAGTCGACCAATAGAACGAGGTGCCTCGCGCCCAGCTAACGAGAAGGGCAGGTAGTTCATTTGGGGATCGATTGACCCCGTCACATATGCATCCCGCGATAGGAAAATACATATAGTCGAGGGTACTATTTGTTTCTTGGTCGTACCAGGCGATGGGTGCATGGCCGTCGAGGGGTTCTGTTATATCAATCAGAAGCACTCGAGTCGGGCCTTTCTGACCTTGCTCTGTAGTAATTCAGTACTGCTGCCTGTTGCCTACTGCATTTGCGGAAGTCCGGATGCTTCCCACCTATACTACTGCCGTAATGGTGGGATATCTCGACCTAGGTAGGTATATACCTATGTATATATCTCCGAACATAGACTTCGGTCAGCATCACGTCTTTCACCGCATATGACATGTTACTGTTCTGATCATATCGGGTATCATTATTGGCATGAGGAGAAGGTGATAAAATCGGTGGAGGTGACGTAGCATTGTATTAGCCCGACAGCTTTGAAACTGAAAATAACTAGTTCATTCCCTTGTATACTGTTTATTATCCACGGCTGGGATCGATATATTCAGATTAACAAAACCAAGCAGGAGACGGGATTTCGTTAATGATCGGGTAAGAACTAAAAATCCTCCAGGGGCGACGCTAAGTCATCTATTCTTAGATACACTAGTCTAGCAGCCCTAGGAATATTATGTAATATCATTGGTTCATGCTTATTTAAGGTGGGTTTTCGTGTGATCCATCTGGGGAAATCCTAAGTTCTGGTGTAACGACTAATTCCATCATGTAACCTCTCACCTGCACTTTCGAGTCCCTTGAATTTAGAATTTATCAAACAAACTATCACGAGAATAAACCAGATTCAGATACCCTTAACGATACTGATTAAGCGAGATGAAGAGGTTTGATATAAGTTGCTTCACTGTAAATATTAATCGACTAGCTTCTCGGCCCATTAATGCTAAATCTAACTTGACTCAAAAATATCGTATGCTCTAACCTAGGGAAATAATAGGAGTCTCAGTCTCTTATAGAGCGCTTAAACTATCTCAGTAATTCAGAATTACCAGATAATCTTTCACAGACTCTATTAACTTATCTTACTTGACTGCCTACGCATCTACGTACAGCTAATGGCACGGAATTCTAATAATTATCTTATATTCCGACTTGCGATACCTTTGATTATCCCAGTATCTGAATGGACTTGACTGTGGGAAGGCTATACTACGGACTCGTAACATTACATTTTGCAATACTCACCACTACAAAGGGCACCTAGTGCATCAGCTTTTTGTCTCCTAGATTATACTTATACCTCTAGTAGATTACATATAATTGAGGACTATCCTATAAATACTTAACTAGGTAGTATCTGAAATATGTTTAATCATGTAAAGGCGGGTTTTTATATTCCTCAACAGGAACTTCAGCACGGCTCTTGTAATTGGCAACCAACATCTCATAGTGCAGTGACCTTCAAGCAACGTAAGATCTGGGTGGCACTTGCTATGTAGATTTGGTCAATCTTTATCGATAAGATGCGTTAGCTTCTAACGCTAATTTCATTGACTCACCGGGCATGCGTCATTCGTAATTCCAGAGCTTCCTTGCATATCCCAACCAATAGTGGCGTCGGGTGGTTTACAAAGAGCCTCAATCTCTATCATCTCAATTTTTATCTACGCTGGTGCCTATTTCATCTTACCTAACTGTTTTTTACTCTGCGCATGGTTTTTTATTTTCCAAGTTGTTTTCTGCCGTTCAAGTCCCTATGCGCCTTCTTTTGCGCTAATAATCATCTATCTAAGTTCCCCAATCCCCCTTCTTTGTTCTCTTACGCCGGCACATATCGAAGCTTTCACGTGGCCCATCCCTTATTTTCTGGATTCACGTTTTCAGCTCTATGGCCGTTTCATTTTACCAGATCTCACCATGACGCCTAATCCTACTAATGAGGATAGACCGAAGGCAGAGTCGGACAATGAGCGGCAGTCCGACGGGTCAATTACTGAACAGATAACTACGATCGCACAGGAAGCCTCCGCTGCCGACCCTGTCTTAGAAAATGATACTATCGATATTACAGACGAGGACTCCGCCCTGAGGAATCTTACAGCAGGCGTGCGCGATCAGGATGACCTCGAGCGAGACATTACCTATAAAGCGAACCTTGCCTTGATCGATGTCGAAGATAAGCGAGACGAAAAACGTATAGAGAAGGTGCAGGCTACTATACAGAAGCTCAACGCCCAGAAGAAGACGCAAGAGGAGCAGTTCCGTAAAGCAATTGGTAGACCTCAACTAAAGCAGACTATACGAGAGAAGATCGCACGAATAGACGCAGAAATTGAACTAGCAAATAAAGACATAGTAGATCTCCGCGCTCGCATCGAGGGACGACATCAAGATAGTGAACATGCCGAGCACATTCAGGGTGGGAACAAGAAGTTGCCGAATGAGACTCATCGTGAATTCTTGATTCGTACCGGCAAAATTACGCCCTTTGCGGATTTCGGAGGACCTCGGCCCCAGGGCGTTGAGGGAGAGTTAGCGGACGCCTTGATCGACGCGGAGGACGAGGCTGCGGCAGAGCAATTGGAGGAGCAAGATAGCTATGAGCCACAATCTCACCAAAATCTACGTGCGCCTGGATTTGACGAGAATCCCAGTCTGGCCATAGCAGCGGCAGAGACCGAGTTCTCGCTGCGCCCACGAAAGAAGCGGAGAGTGCAGCGTGATGTCGTATCATCAGATGAATTCGCACCGCACGCTTCTTCTGATGCGCTTGATGTGGATTCTACTGTTGGCCAAGAGTCGGAAGACTCCGAGCTCGAACGACCTCGTAAAAAGTCTAAGAAGGTAACAAAGGACGACGGTAAGGTAGATCTCAGTCAGATTGACGATGGAAACGAGGCCAGCTATCAGGCTCGACTTGCAGACTGGGTGAACAGGCGTGGCAAAGCCAGACGCCAAAGACGACAAGAAAGAAGGGAGGAAGACCATGATGAAGTTGATAGCGGAGATGAAGAAGAGTGGTTCAAACCTTCTCCAGACCATACCGACCATCACTTCGAAAACGACTTAAAGTTACCCGGCGATATATACCCTGCTCTGTTTGACTATCAGAAGACCGGGGTGAAGTGGCTAGCCGAGCTTTATTATCAAAAAGTAGGGGGCATTGTTGGTGACGAGATGGGCCTCGGAAAGACTATCCAACTCATCTCGTTTGTCGCCACTCTGCATCATAGCAAGCAGCTTGACAAACCAGTCATCGTTGTGGCACCAGCTACTGTCTTGAGACAGTGGGTAAACGAATTCCATCGCTGGTGGCCTCCTCTTCGCGTGTCAATTCTCCATTCGTCTGGTAGTGGTATGCTCAATATGAGAGCTGAGGGTAAGATTGAGGATGAAGAAGAGATGTGGGATGAAAGAGAAAACAAGAGGGTTAACCAAGCTGCTAAGAGGATTGTGGATCGGGTGGTCAAACACGGTCATGTTCTAGTCACCACCTACGCTGGCTTGCAGACGTACGGACAAATCCTAACTCCTATCGAATGGGGCTACGCAGTCTTAGACGAAGGCCACAAGATCCGGAATCCGAATAGCGCGGTCACGGTATATTGCAAGGAGTTGCGGACGCCAAATCGAGTCATTCTTTCCGGTACTCCGATGCAAAACAATCTTATGGAATTGTGGTCATTGTTTGACTTCATCTTCCCAATGCGACTAGGGACACTTGTGGATTTCCGTAACCAATTCGAAATACCTATACGATTAGGAGGTTATGCCAATGCTACGAATCTCCAAATCATGACAGCTCAGAAATGTGCCGAAATATTGAAGGATACAATAAGCCCGTTTCTACTTCAGCGATTGAAAGTCGATGTTGCAGCCGACCTCCCGAAGAAGAAGGAACAGGTTCTCTTTTGTAACCTTACAAGACCTCAGCGCGATGCCTACGAGTTCTTCATCCAGTCAAAAGAAATGGGCGCCATTCTCGTCGGATCAAGGAACTCACTTTATGGAATTGATGTCCTCCGAAAGATTTGCAACCACCCTGACCTAGTTGATCCTGGATTAAAGACGAAAGAAGGGTATGAATGGGGAGCCTCTAAGAAATCGGGCAAGATGCAGATCGTAAAAGCGCTTCTCCAAATGTGGAAACGATTCGGACATAAGACTCTTCTATTCAGCCAAGGTATTCAAATGCTTGATATTCTTGAGGCATTTGTAAGGCGCCTAGGGTACATCAATTACCTGCGAATGGATGGCGGCACTGCTATCAAAGATAGACAAAGCCTCGTTGACCAATTCAATAACACCCCAGAAATCGACCTCTTTTTACTAACCACAAAGGTTGGTGGCCTAGGAGTGAATTTGACTGGCGCAAATCGGGTTATTATCTTTGACCCTGATTGGAATCCTTCAACAGATGTTCAGGCTCGGGAACGAGCATGGCGTCTTGGCCAGAAAAAAGAAGTCACAATTTACCGACTTATGACTGCTGGTACGATTGAAGAGAAGATGTACCATCGTCAGATCTTTAAACAATTCTTAAGCAACAAGGTATTAAAAGACCCGAAACAGCGTACTACTTTTCAGCTTCAGGATCTCCATGACCTCTTTACGCTAGGATCTTCTGGAGATAAGGTGACAGAAACAGGGAAGTTATTCGAAGGCTCGGAAGTTCAGTTTAGTAACACTTCAACTAAAAATATCCCGAGCCAGAAGGCTGGCGAGGCAGCAGAGCCTACGGAGATACAAAGTAAATCAGCTAGTGAAGACGGTGATCGTGATCTCCATACTATAGCAGGTGTAGCTGCTCTCGAGGACTATGAGCCTGACCCCGATACAAAGCCGGCGCCGACAGAAGAAGACCGGATCATGGAAGGTCTTTTTGCCCGCTCTGGTGTACACTCGGCACTCGAACATGATAAAATAGTCAATGGTAAGAAACAACTAAGAGCCGATCCAAGACTACTTCAGCAAGAAGCAGATCGCGTGGCGGCACAGGCAGCTGCATCCCTTCGACGAGCAGGTGAGCAGACGCACTCGGTGCCTATTGGCACTGTTACCTGGACCGGTGAAGTGGGCGAGGCCGGTAGACCATCTAACATCCGTAGGGGTCGCGGCGGCCCCGGTTCAGCTAGTATCTTGGCCGGGTTAGCCGATAGGCAAGGACTGAGCTCACCCGCAGGCAGTTCTCGCTCAGGATCAGCAACGCCTACACCAGCCAGAGGAACAAACTTAGGGGCTAAGGATTTCGCGAAGATGATTCCGGAGTTCATCAAAGCCCACGGAGGCAAGGTCCCCACGAAACTACTGGTTGACCATTTCAACCAATTCTGTATTACGAAGAAGCAGTCTGGCGACTTCAAGACCGCCCTGGACCGGGTTGCTCAGATGGAGAAAAGGGGGTCTACTATGAGGGGTATCTGGGCCCTTAAACCAGGACACTGATTGATCGGCGTTGACGTAATCATTGATCTAAGAATAGCTTCGTTTTAGATAGGGGACTTCGAGGGCGAGTCTTCATGATCGGTTTAGCAAGGTGTTGCGGTACGGTCTATATACTTCAGCATAGCACAGGTGCATATATGTTCACTAGAGTTTAGGAATGATTGCTTCAATTAGCGTTATGAATTAATCTTAATCGAAACTACAATTACGAGCTTTTCGTGACAATGCTATGCGAGTTTTAATAAATCACGTAGGGAGATGATATAAGAGTAGGATTTTAGTTGGATCAATGTTTTCTCATTTCTGTAGCCGTGCCAAAAGGCATCATGTGACAATAAGCATAGCTACCCGAAGTATCATGGAGACCAGGCATGTCTTATTCCTTTCTAGATGCACGCCGTTCTCCTCGTAATTGTCAACGCCACAGAGATGAAGAAGTCCTCGTGCCAACCCTTGATTCCGCCGATCATTGCTTCTGGATCGCCCCCCAAAACCACCAGCCGCAGCCGGTTGATATATAGGTAAATATGGCGCGATCACAGACGACGACCACGGCGACCACCCTTTCTGCGGGTGCTGTCGGAGGGAGTGGGGGTCACATCCTCGATACGGCCGATCTTCATGCCGGAACGGGCAAGAGCACGGAGAGCAGACTGGGCACCGGGGCCGGGAGTCTTGGTACCGTTACCACCGGTGGCACGGATCTTGATGTGGAGGGCGTTGATGCCGAGCTCCTTGCAGCGGGCGGCGACGTCCTGAGCTGCCAACATGGCGGCGTAGGGGGAGGACTCGTCACGGTCGGCCTTGACCTTCATACCACCAGTAACTCGGGTGATGGTTTCGCGGCCACTGGAATCACCCAGAATGTTAGCCTATGAACCACACACAAGAAATTTTTTAAAGAGGAGATATATAGAAGTCATATGTATCTAAGTATAGCGAGAGAAAGACGTAGAATTCGTTCCTCCTCATTCGCTTATACCTCATAACCTCGAGACAATAGGGATTGATTTCGGGAAATTTGTTTAGACGAACCTGAGATCGGTGACATGGACGAAAGTGTCGTTGAAAGAGGCGAAGATACGGGCAACGCCAAAGACGAGCTCACCTGTGAACGCGGGGCACGTTAGCAAACCTGACGATGTCTTACACTTTCAAGAAGATCTTGACTCACCTTCACGGACCTGAGGTCCGAGGGAGATGTTCTCCTGAGCGGGACGGGTGGTCTTCTTGGGAGGCATTGTGAATGATCTTTTGGTGTTGGTGGTGGGGGTTGGACTTCGGGGTTGACGGTTGTTGAAATGAAGCTTGACCGCGGGTTTTTTTCCCTTCGAGAGAAATCGATCGTTCACAATAATTCAGTGTGTTTATTTGTGGGGTGGGAGAGAAGCGCAGAAAAGGCGGCGGTGGGAGACGGCAGAAATAATTAAAAAGTGGATTAACCCTAACACCTTTCCGCTTCTCGCTTGGGGCGGTGTACTAAGTAACAGCGCAGCGCACAGCTTTGACCAACCCCCGCCTAAACCCTTTTTGGTCACACCAACTAAAGAGTCCCGCACTAAACTTTACCAAATTTTCTCGTGCCTTTTTTGAATTTTTCTAACCTTTCCATATCCCAAATCCGAGTCGACAACCCACGACCAAACGGCCATCACCCAATTCGACAACAATGGCTGCTACTACGTATGATATATCTTCCTAGTTCCTTGTTCTTGAACGAGCGAATCGATATCCGGTCCAATGGATTTTGCAGATTGTCGTGGTCTTCTCGGCTGGGTTGCCTTGTTCTCCTGAACATCTGAAAATGGTGCGAAGAGGCATCGCAAGTCAGCTCGATCTTTCCCAGGCTTCTCCCTCTGTTTTTCATGCTTGATATAAAGCTTGGATACAGAGAGATGTTGTTCTGGGGTGTTGGAGATGAAGGCCTGGCCCTTCTCTCTTAAATTCATCTGCCGCTTTCACTATCAGCAGACGGTCAAGAAATTGCTGTCAATCTAGCTGGTATAGAGCGAGCATATCTCCTGGACTTATGTTCAAGGCGTTGTCGGATGAGAGGGAATGCTATGAATACAGTCGCACTTTCTCGAAAGAGGTTACGGGCTCTAGCATCTCACCGATCAAAATTTTCCCACCGAGTTAGCTACCGCTGAGAATGTCGCGTGCAGTCGGCAATTCTCCAACCGGCGCTCTATTCATGCATTCATGTATGATTGTGGACTACGTACTAATCTAATTTGACAACAGTTCCGTCCCTACCAAGGACCAGGTCCTCGTCCCCGAGACCCTCCTCAAGAAGCGCAAGAGCCAGGAGAAGGCTCGCGCTGAGAAGTCCGCCGAGCTTGAGCAGCGCAAGAAGGTTAGTCATTTCTATTAAATAAATAAAATAAAATAACGACGTGATGCATAAAACCACTTGCAACTAGACAAAGTCAATGCTGTTGCAAAATACCATCTTTCGGGTCTGATCGACAAATCTATACATATATTGTCATATGCTTCTATGTACATGGGCTTCAAGCTGACATTGATATATAGCTCAACAAGGAGAAGCGCTCCGTTATCTTCAAGCGTGCTGAGAAGTACGTCAAGGAGTACCGCGATGCCGAGCGTGAGAAGGTCCGCCTCAACCGCCTCGCCAAGCAGGAGGGCAGCTTCCACGTCCCTGCCGAGGAGAAGTTGATCTTCGTCATCCGAATCAAGGGGTATGTTCATTCTAACATTCCCAATACAATCAAACATTTTCTAACGAACGAGTAGTATCAACAAGATTGCCCCCAAGCCCCGCAAGATCCTCCAGCTCCTCCGTCTCCTCCAGATCAACAACGGTATCTTCGTCCGTATCACCAAGGCCACCGCCGAAATGATCAAGATTGTCGAGCCGTGGGTTGCTTACGGTTACCCCAACCTAAAGAGCGTCAAGGAGCTCATCTACAAGCGCGGATACGGCAAGATCAACAAGCAGCGCATTCCCCTCACCGACAACTCCATCATCGAGGCGAACCTCGGCCAATACGGCATTGTCTGCATTGAGGATCTCGTCCACGAGATCTACACTGTCGGCCCCAACTTCAAGCAGGCCTCCAACTTCCTATGGCCCTTCAAGCTCAGCAACCCCAACGGCGGTTTCCGAACGCGCAAGTTCAAGCACTTCATCGAGGGTGGTGACCTTGGCAACCGAGAGGACAAGATCAACGGCCTCATCCGACAGATGAACTAAGTTAAGGGTTATGGGTTAAATGGGTCTGGTATTAGGGGGTTTGCTTCTGTGCATGGTTCACGGCGTTCATAAAAGCTTCGGATGCTACCAATGAATTGAGACTTTATGATCATGGCAACCCCATACTTTCGTCTGTCCCTGGCTGTCTAGTCGTGAATAGTAGCATGAATAGTAGTATACTTCTCTTGAAGCCTTACCAGGATATTGCTGCCAGTCTTCAAATACCTTTTAATCCTTAATTCATAATAAGTCGCCGACATCTAAGTCACCATGATAAGGCTTATGATGGTAGGTACATAGTGTGCATTATACTAGAGAAGTGCTTATTAAACCTAGCGTAAGTTCTTGCTTATATGGGTTCATTTGTACGAATACCTACAGTAATAAAAAACCTTGGACCGCTTAGGAGAAGTCGAGATTGTAATTTATATAATTAATGTATTCTATGTTCATATCTACGGCACTAACCTCGTTATATGCCGTGACAGTAGAATATACAGTTGTCTCCCAATGAAAAATATGATACCACCGCCAATTTCCGCGGATCTCATCCCCCCCTTCTTTCCTCTTTCATGCAAATATTCTAATATAAACTGTGAATGGTAGACAAATATACACAAGAACCCTCGGCCAAACAGGGAAACATCCAAGGCCCCAAGGCGGAAATGTTATATCTTGATGTCGAAGCTAGTGCCGCAGCCGCAACTGCTTGTAGCAAGCGGGTTATCCACGATCTTGAACTGGCTCCCAATCAGCTCCATCGTGTAGTCCACCTTACTCCCCTTCAGCAGCTCTAAACTCGGCGAGTCTAGGATGATCTTGGGCGTTGCGGTGCTTGTTAAGTCTTTTGCTTCGGCGCCGACAGATGGAGACGGCTCGGATGAAGATGACGGGGTTGATGACGAGGGCGGCGCGGAAGCTTCGGTAGAAGATGGGGGATCATCTTTTACAAACGCGAAGATGGTATCGTCCTCGCCGATGCTGGGCGCGGAAGGCGCGGCGCTGGTGGTTGTCGAGGGCGCGATTTCGGCGGTGGTTTTTTGCCCCTCTTGGTTGGCGGGGGTGGGAGGGGTAGATGAGGTTTCGGGGGGCGGATGCGCGGATGTTGTCGACTCGGGGGTGGAGGGCAAGGAGGGCGGGAGAGAGGTTAGGGACATTAGGTATTGGAATCCGTGGCACCCGCCGGATTCGACGGAGATGCGCAGCGCTAAGTTTGGGTTTTTGTCTTTGACCATGATTTGCGAAAGTTTCTGGAGTGGGGGGAATGAGGGGTTCGTGTTAGTTGGTGTTGCTGAGAGTCGCGACGGAGGGAATAAGAAGGGTGAAAAGAGATGTGCAAGACTCACGTTGGCGGCGCGCGGTGTAATCTCTAAGACCATGTCGTTACCGTCCTCGTCCTTCTGCGGGTTATACACGACTTGGGTCTTGCGCCAGGGCGCCGTGGCGCTAAAATGTCGTCGAGCAGTACCATACGGGACATGCGATATAGCGTTCCTATCATTCCGGACCCGGAGGTTTCGCGCCCGACCGCGGATGTCCCGTGCGAGGTGGAAAGCTCGGGTGCGCGGCGGCAACAACACATCGAGGATAGGAGTGCTGCTGCTATTATTACTACTACTACTACTACCTATAGGCGACGACGATGCGCATAGCAAGCGCACGAATAATCTCGCAGCCGAGGGCGAGGACCCGTGGGTGCAGCGTACGGCGAGCGGAGGCGGCATTTTCGGGGCTGGAGGTTAAAGCGTTGGCCGGAGAAGATGTGGGCGTTTCTAAGCAAGAGATATTAAATTATTTTTTTTTGGAGGTGGGATGATGTCAAGGGTCAGTTTAAGCTCGGCGAAAAGCGGCACAGAAGCCAATTGTGTTGGTGCAGGTTGAATGGCAGGACGGGTATAGTTTGCGGCATTAGTAATAGGATAGCCAATTATGTAACCGCGATTGTAAATGCAGGAACGTTGATTATATATACCTAGTACATAGTTCATAGAATTGGAAGTGACAACGGAAGGTTCACCTCGAGCAAGGTGAGAATTCGGTTAAGAGAGTATATGCATTGGGAGGGACATTATACAAGTAACATGATTAATCAAAATATACGTTTTTCATCCCTTCAACCTTTAGAAGTGTGTTCTGACTTCAGTCTTCACCACGATTAAAGGTGTTGAAGAGTTATACTCATGAGCAGCAACCATCAAGACAGTATGAATGAACAAGCCTTTCTCTAACTCATCCACAATCTCAATTCGCCTCATTGGAGATAAGTTATCGAGCCCCATTTTCATATGAGGCGATATGATGTTCAGTCGCAGAGAAAGAGGAGAACCCGCGATTGAAGTTGAAGCGGAGGATGCTCTCCAAATCCCCATACTCGCTGAGGTAAAGAGGAGAAGCAAACCCCCATCCCTACCATCGATAAACATCATCAAGTAATATATTAACGCTTACTTTAGTCTCCTAAAATAAGAAAAGACCCCCTTCTCTCGCATCTGGACCCCTAAATGATCATATCTCAATCCGGCATCCCGTCGTGGCTATTATCAAACTTTACTCCGACGTCAAGGACCTAGATATCATCCATCCCACGCCTAGCAGACAGAGAGATATTGAGGCATCTCGGCGTTTGCTGTCGGCGATTACGTGCTGGCGAGGAACAAGCTCATCGAGCACGTCTAGTTTAGATGCTAGGAATGTAATGTTGTCTGCGTTATTGACCCTCTAGCGTGCATCGCTCCCGCCGGGAACAGGTCGCTCCGCGGGAGTACTCGTTCCCTTAGGTTAGGTACCATGCAGGCACGGATACCTCGACGGGGCGCGGCCTACGTGCCGGACATGATTGAATTGGGGACTTCTGGCCGTCGATTTCGCATATCCTTCTTTTTACCCGCGATCCAGTACGACGACGTCCTTATTTTACCGGCTATATGGGCGACGGATTCCCAGCACCCAGCACCCCCCACGAGCAGGGCCCGCCTCTTCAAATATATTGTCTGCCGGGCGAAATGGAAACACCCTGCACGCTGAAATATTTTTTTGATTAAATCTCCTACTAGAGACAGGGTTCCGAGCGGAGGTATTTGGAATCAGAGGTAGAGGCTAAGGGGTTACAAAAAGAGCACCTACGCCCAGCTAGCTTAGCCGTCGTGTGAGACACACGGACTGGATATAAGCGCTTCGATAATTTCTCCCTTACGACTAGAATAGACTCTTTACTTCTAATCACCACCAGCACTGTCAGAATGTATGCGCAACTTCTCCCTCTCGCCGCCCTGGCCGCTACCGTCTCTGGCCACGGTCTAATAACGACGCCTACTCCCCGCGGCCCAGGAGACGCATCCTCCGCTGCATGCGGGTCCTCCGTTGTCGCCAACATCAAGGGCGACCTGACCTCGCACGTCGAAGGCTTACCCGAGCTCGCCGCCAAGGACACGGGATACCACGGCGAGCTCTGCAACCTCTGGCTATGCCGTGGCCTGCAATACGCCGACAACGCAGCCAACGTCCAAGCCTACAAGCCCGGCCAAAAGGTCACCATCGAGGTGGATCTGACGATCCCGCACGTCGGCTCTGCCAACGTGTCTGTCGTCGATACCAAGACTAACACCATCATCGGCGAACCTCTGCTTAACTGGCCCTCCGGCTATGCCGACGAGCGCCAGTTCTACGCTCACCAGACCCCTGCCAACCAGACCAAGTTCGACGTTACTATCCCCGAGGACCTCGGCTCCAAGTGCGCTGATGCTGGTTCTTGCGTAAGTTAACCTTGGGGTTTGGGGTGTTGTATTGTGCTATGTTACAGTGTGGCTAATAGAGCGTGTATAGGTTCTTCAGTGGTGGTGGTACGGAACGGGAGCGAAGCAGACCTACGAGAGCTGCATCGACTTCACCGCGTAAGGGCCGCCGCATCGACGATACCAGTGAGATATGAAAGGGTATTTGGACCGAAACAATACATATAGGAATAGATGTGAATAGATATCTCTTCAAAGAAATATTGAATACCAGAGTCAACCATAACTACCTACCTCGGATGAACCAGTGTCATATGAGCATGAAGGACCATATCGTTGAAAGCTTATACAAATATCATCCATACTATGAAGACTGAAGGAGCTTATGATTTCAATATTTTATTCTGTTTATGAACTACTCGAGGAAATATTTTGGTACTGCAAATAACAGGACGAAAGCAAATTATATAAAAGCGCGGATACTCCTGAACACATCACGGATCGTCCCAAGATATAACCCCAAACCTCCCTATTTTCCCTCGTTACTTGTATACCACGTTACGTGAAATAGCGTCCCCGATATTAAGTCGAGTGAGCCGGCCCCGGTCATCCTCAATACCTACAGATTTCCACATTCCGTCCCACACAACACCCCATCCCCATCCCCATCCCCTATCCCGACAGTTAATTCACAAGTTAGTATGGTGGGTTAGGCCCACCGATTGAGGAAGGAGGGGGATAGTCCTGCTCGGGTCGTCCACCCGCCACGGAGCCCGATCGTCCGTCGCCGAAGTGCTTCTTGCGCAGGGCAGCAAGACGCTTCTTCTTAGTCATGGTGTTAATATACGTGCCGATGGTGAAGGCGACGACGTTAAAGAAGGGAACCCAGGCGGCCTCGGGTAGGAAGGCCTGTGCGAAAGCAAGACACAGCGGCGAGCTAATCCAAGATACCTTCATGACTTTCATAAAGCTGACGCGTACCGTTGCTCGGACCTGGTGATAGGTTCGGGCACCGGCGATGAGAGCCATAGCGACGAGGTAGACAGAGTTTTGGATCGGAGCAACCTAGTTGATGCACGTCAGTTATGCAGTTAGTTTAGGTGGCGGTCTGGGGAACACACTATAAGGTTGCTGATAAGAATCTGGAGAATCTTGGCACGGAGACTCGTGCGACCCTTGAAGGCCTTTTGAAGACACCAGATCAGGAAGTGGCCTAGGGGCGCGCTGACCAAGGCGCCGTATGCCGCCATCTTGGGGACACGGGCCGTGAAATAGTTTCCATGCTTATTACGGTCTCTAGCTAGCCACGACGCAAGAAGTTCTTGTAGACCGGCGAGGGTTCCAGCCGTGAGCATCTTAGTCCGCAGAGGGTTTCTCTCCAGCTGATTGATGTAGGCCTAGTAGAAAGCCGAGGTCAGCTCGGTTGCGACTCGACACATCTTAAAGTTAATAGCGACAAAAAAAACCGACGTACCATTAAGTAGCCCCTCGTGCCGGCGTTTCGTTTGCCTCCAGTGATCGCGGTACCGATCGCCTCTGCGATAGGATGCTTGCCGGTCGTGCCTGGGAGAGGGCCGTCACGAGGAATGTGCGCGAGAGGGCCGGGCACGATCTCGGTCGCATGGCGGATCGTTTCTTTCTCGATCTTAAGCGACATGATCGCCTGAGTTTAATCGATAACAGATGGTCTAGTCCAGAAAGTCTAAGTAAGAATCGAGTTAGTGATGAAAGTGCGGTCGGGAAAGAAAGGTGTTCGAGTGTGGACGGCGGGTACTTGGGACTTTGTTGGTGTCAATTGATTTGTTTACCTTGAGCTGACGGGGGGGCCTCGGTAGGATTATTTCGGATTTCGGACGTGAATTTACAGGCTTTCGCGTATCTATCAATCAAAGCATAAGAATATTCTCGCATGTGGAAGAAATGATAGCTAGCATTCTACATGAGGGCAGAAGTCACCGGGAGGGAATTGCGGGTCTTTGGAAACTCATCCGTATCGGTCGGGTTTGAAAGATGAACAATAGGATGTAGATTTGGTGGCAGATTGTGGAAGATGTGGAGGAGGTTGGTGAGGATGAGGTTGGACAAGGTTGGACAACAGGTCGGGCAAGTCTGGGGCCGCCAGCACCTGCTGAACCTTGCTGGGACCTGGCTAAGACCTGGCTGGGTACCTTCCTCTCCTTGCGCTTTCATTCGCCATAGTCCCCTCTCATTCGTTCGTAAAGTCGCGACCAGGAGATGACCACGCCCTGGTGGGTCCCTTGCTTTTTTAGCAACCTCGAACCAAGGGGGATCAAGGGGGGGGCCATTACTGCACGACAGCTGCGACCCACAAAATCCACAAAATCCACAAAACACTCGGGCTCGATCTACATAGTATCTTGACCTTGAACGTGCCCCGTTCCTCATTGGTTCGATTAGCCGGTTTGTTCGTTCTTCCGTGGTCTGGGCTACTGCTTCAGTACGAGTGCACATGTAAGTATCTTCCTTTTTCGGTACGCAGCGAGAACCACAAGAACCACTAAGACCCAAAATCGCTTTACATGCACACCTTTGAGAGTATCCTCTAATTGGTAGCTAATAGGATATGGAGAGTTATTAGGTACAACTACAGTGTCTATCACGCCACTAATGCATCTTGTGTGCCGAGGTACGTAAGGGTATGATATGACAAGTGATACCGTAAAATAGGGTTTAACCACGCAGCACAACCCACGAGCTCGGAAGCCAAAAGGAAACTCGGGGGAGGACGATATCGTTGGGAATAGCTTCAAGCGTGTAAGCTGCTCGACACTAGTAAGTACCTAGGTAGGTGCCTATATCTAATGCTACCTAATGGGGAATGAGCGAGTTTAGCCTGCACTGCCTATAGTGTAGTGTAATTCGTAGTTTCTATCCTAGCCTCTAGGTACCTAATCTAAGGCAGCACCTACCTAAACTTTACCCACATAGTTTCATCGCCTACATGCACGGAAGTACCTAGTAGATGTACACTATGTTAGGCACCCAGAAGGCCCGTACGCACCCAGTCGAACTAGCAATCGGAATAAACATTCGTAATTATTTCATCACTAGTTCTCCAGAGAGTCCAAGCAACCTTGCGTCCTTGCGTCCTTGCCCCTCCATCTATCCACAAATTCACATCTCCGTCCGTGGGTCTCGAGTCGTAACATTCATTTCAGATAATTTTGACTTATAAAGTCTTGCATATCAAGCACAGAATTTCTTGAAAGCCACTTTCATTTTTACTTTTGCTCTACGAAACATAGTAGCGTATTTCTCCTCCGTCAATACGTCAATACCACTTTCGTTAGTATTGATAGTAGTGGGGGAAATATTGGTCATTTTGACCGCTCTACGGAATATTGCTAGAATACTTTCGTTACTAGACGCATTCAACCCAGGTATTCTTTTCGCAGTGAACCAGCATCTACCTTTTTCATCTCGACACAAAACACTACACAGCAACTTCTATCCAGCATCATCTCTCTTTTGGTATATCATCACGCATTAATACCCAAGCCATGGAAAGAGGACATCGACAGGGTCTAGGGGCACAGGAGGCCCAGGAGGCCCAGGAGGCCCAGGGAGCCTCGTCGCCTGTACCACGACTCGACCGTTTAACACAAGCTACGCGACAGCCTCAGCAATCACGTCTTCACACCTTGTGTTCTCACCTAACTATGACGCGTACTTTCGATCCCGTTTTGACTTGTGCTCTGTGCGGTAAACCAGGCCAATAGGGATGGCTCTGGAGATGCACCGATGACCAAGAACTTCTCATCGAAGACGCCATAGAGAAGCAACAGTCGGTAAGTTCTCCCTTCCTTATAATATTTTCTATAGCACGCGTAATAGCTGACTACCTTTTTAGGTGTGTTTCGATACCTCTGGGTTGGAATTCGTTAAGATGTTGAAGAAGGTTCGGCCTGGAAGTCCTCGAAGCAGATCAGAGAGGTTTAGCGTACTCAAGGAGATGACGAGCGAGCAGTTAAAGAGCTACACGCCTAGCCAGATCCTCACCATCATCTCGCAAAGGGACCACGTATGTGCTCTTTTGCCGGTATACAAGGACAATATATATACTAATATATAAAATAGGTCCGTAATCTTGCGCAGGCAGCATCATCCACAATCGACCCGCCACCAGGATTCCAGTTTAGCGAAAGTACAGAACCCTGGGTTCCCAGTTTGGATGAGGAATGTCGTTTCGTATGCTGTCAAAGTTGTCGTCCTTCATGCGAACTGAGATCCTATCTGAGTCTGGATGGTATTGCGAACGGCGATATACCACCTACTGCAGCCGTTGGTTTCGGCTTCCATTCTTGTTCATTTAGGCCAATTATCCACCCAGACAGGCTGAAAAATATTGGCCTGAGGGCTGTACCTTTGGTATGACAACTTCACTTTTATTCTCCCCTATCCATTACTAACCTCAGTATCAGCCATTGGCTCATGGTAGCTCGACATCCTCGGTGGGTTCATGGCGCAGTTCATGGAACAATTCATGGGAAAATTTGTCCCTTGCTGACGATCAAGTGGACGAGACCGAGCACGTCGAACATGTTGAGGATGTTGAACACGTTGAACGTGTTGAGTCTGTCCAATCCCAGTCCCCGGGAATCGGCCTAACCACCAAACGTACAACCTCGGGCAAATTTACAAATCCCGGTACCAACGGTGCCAACGGTGTCAACAGTACCAACGGTGCCAAATATACCAACGGTATCAACGATATCAGCAATATCAACGGTGTTAGCGGTGTCAACGGTGTTAGCGGTGTCAACGATGTCAACGGTGCCAACGGTACCAACGGTAATATCCCGTCAGTCCGACCCGTTACTCGCTATTCATTTGAGGAGAATGCTGAGTCTGCGGTATCTGTTGGACATTCGATATCGCTCCTTCCTCCCATACAAGAAGACCATGCGTCTCTCTGCAAGCGCCCCTCCCAAAAAATGGGAGAGGAGGTGAAGAAATCTTCAGGAGTTGACCATGGAGTGACAGTCTCGAAGAAGGGTGTTAGCTTAGAACTGTCTGATATTATCACTCAGCTATAGTCGGAAGTATGTCAGAGTTGGAACTATGCTCGGTTGGTCCCCAGCCCCATGCGCTGGCTTCGCCGGAAGAGCGTTTGCCTGGTACTACAGGATATGGACAGTGTTCTTGACTAGCCATTAGGCTTTGCGTGCAAAACGCTTGGTTTCAATAATTCGACAGCAGGTTTAATTCCTAGCGCCAGTTAGTAGTTTTTAATTGATATGATTTTCATAAATATTATTGTCTTATTATTATTATTTCTCTGGCCTATGAATTCCTTGTCTTAGGTTTACAATGTTATGACCTTATTACATGGGCCATATGCGACTAGCCGGAGAATTGTTGATAATCGCACGTGATGGCCTGAGGCTTACATACATGTAGGTACATACTTGCCTAAGACCTACCTAAGTACCTAAGGCAAGATCCGGGGTTTGTTAGGTACCTAAGGTACCTGTTAGTGCTCTTGAGACGCTAGAATGTTTCACAAGCTTTACCAAATCAAAACGATGGATCGGTGGTTGGGGTATACCCTTGCATCCAATCGATATTTAATTGGCCCTCACCAGTGGAGATTTTTCGTAAAGCCTATTCGAATCTTAAAAGGGAATAGTAGATCCGCATCTAGACGCAATTCGGTACATCGTAATATCTCGGAAAGCTCTAGTGTAAAGGTTACAAGGCTACGAAAACTGTCATAAGTTGTTAGATGCTGATGGATCATGAACAGCTTCAAGGCTAGTTGGTGTAGACACTCTTTACGCATGGTGCCGTCTTCTACGGGCTCGCGACAGGTTCCGACAGAATGGCTACGACGAGTTACGGAAGACCAATCGGAACCACCGAGACTTTATGCTTGGCGGCTTACAAACTTACCTGATGGCGCAAATTACGCCCGTAAACCGCTTGAGGTGGGAGAAATACCGAACCCAGACAACGAGCGCCGTCGCATATACATCCTAGGCGTCGGAAACATCGGTCGGCTGTATGCGAGCTTTCTTGCTAAGAATGACTCCCGGCCGCCGATTACCTTAGTCGTTCATCGGAGGGAACTCCTAGACCAGTGGAAAGCCCATCCGGGTATCGAGCTGGTGCGCGACGGTAAGACAGAGCGAAACCCCGCGTTCCGCATCGAATGGTGGGCCGACGCTCAGCCGATGCACGGCCCTGTTAGGGAACCGGGCTCGGGCTGCGGTATCAGCAATCTAATCGTAGCCACCAAAGCCCCGGATGCTATCCCGCAGGTCGACCGCGTGAGACGGTATCTCGACAGCCGGTCGACCGTCGCGTTTGCGCAAAACGGCATGTGTAAGCTCTGGCCGCCGCTGGGAGAAGCATACGTCGCGGCGCGGTTTGGCCAAGGTAAAGGTCCGCGCTGGCTTGCGTGTGTGACGACCCATGGCGTCACGTCGCTCGGGCCATTTCAAAGCGTCCATGCGTCACCTGCGGACGTGCGCGTAGGGTCTGTAATGGTGCGTGGTGGAGACGGCTGGGATGGTAATGATAATGACGGAGATAAAGATGACTACCTGGCCGAGCAGATCGTCGGTGCGCCGGGGTTAGCTGCGCGGAGAGTCGCGACGCGGGAGTTATGGGTGGCGCAGCTGGAGAAGCTGGTGGTTAATGCGGTTATTAATCCGCTGACGGCGGTGCTGAGGTGTAAGAATGGGGAGGTTTTTGAGGAGCGCGGGGATGGGTTGGGGGGTGTGGTTGAGATGTTGGTGGAGGAGGCGAGTCGCACGCTGAGAGCGCTGGTGGGACATCGAAGTAGTGAGGGTATATTATTTGCGCAAGATAAAGATGGGAAGAGTGGTGTAGTGACAAGGGCAGCTGCGGAAGAGCGTCTCGAAAGAACACGAGAAGAACTTCTAGAGAGATTCTCTTCCGCGCGATTGCGGACAATGCTCTACAGTGTTGGCGAGAAGGTGGCGGCGAACACAAGCTCGATGCTGCAGGACGTGCAGGCCGGCAAGAAGACCGAGATCGAGGACTTCAACGGCTGGCTCGTGGAGACGGCGCAGTATCTTGGCGATGAGGGCGGACTGCCTGTCAACAAGAAGTTGATTTCCCTGATTGAAGACGGGGCGGCGCGGACGAGAGATGAGTTGGTTAAAGAACTTCAAAGTAGTCGGGGCTAGGTTGGGTTGTATGTGTGTGTCTGTGCACATGAGGTTATATATCATAATAACAGACAAACTTTCATGAATTAGGGCTGGTCAAGGGTAATGGCGGTAGATGATGAGGTACTTTCGGCACTTCTCATCCCCTTTTACCTAGCTAAACTTAAGAAGACGACGAATACTAGGGGCTGTGTTTAGTTAACCATAATCATATACACTATTCTTCTGGTAGATTAGGTAGAGATTTAAGCCCTTGACTTCTGCTGTCAAGAAAACTATTTGAGGCTATCAGATGAGCCAATTCGTATATGAGGTTGACGGTCAGCAGCTATTCCCTTGGAGCTTCATCCGCAAAAACACCGTGATGTTTAGTGGGTATAAAGCTAACTAAGAGCTTTAATCCTGTCTTGATTATGTTGTGATATGAAGTTTCCATATTTTACCTAGGTACATGCCGTTAATGTTTATCGAGAACGTTTACCTCAACCATTTTGTCTAACCTACTTAATAGATCCATGTTTTATATAAGTGTGATTTTTATATATTTAGCGTTTAATGGTAGTGGATTGTCTTGGTTTGAGGTGCTGCCTCTTTGACTTATAAAGCTATTAGGACTAGTCGTTGAATAGTATTTGGTTTTATTAAAAGGAAGTAAAACGGACCAACACACCGGTTCAACTATTCATTGATAGGGATATAGATATAGCATATCATACGTTATAATAGAGTTGTCCCGGGGTAATATACTATTTAATACGGTATAATTTGCTTTTAAGGCTAAACGGTTTGAGAAAGTCATAATATTGAGATAGTGAAGTTGGAATTTTTGAGGGTCAAAAATACGCAGTAAAGTACCATAAAATAATTATATGCTCGACTAGTATAGTTAGGGAAGTAGGTATATCGATGCTAGTATAAAATGTTAGTTAGTAGTTCGAACTATTACAACTTAACAAGTTCTATATCATAGAGAGATACATATCTCTTTCGAAAGGGAAAGATAAGTATTCATATATCGCGCTTTGGAGAGCTTTTATGCTAGCCCAATGCTGTTAATTAGTGATATGAGTCCCCTTTGTAATGTGTTCCTACGGTGTTCGTGTTCTTGAAGAGACTTACTGTTACTGTGACTTACTCCGGGGCTACTGGGGTATCAATGTTGAAGATTTTGCTTGTATATCAGTATTAATACTTTTCTGGATGATTCAGGTAGTGCCGTAGCTATTCGCGCGGCGACGCATTCCCTCCTTTCCTTGCTCGGCTCATAGATAAAAGGCACTTTATACTCCATCCTATAATTTAGAATAGGTTCCTGTTGTATAAAATATCAATATTTGAGAACATACCTGACCATGAGTATATGACATAGCAGAATGTTAGGTATATGCATACACTTATAAGTCAGTAGTTTTATGGTGCATTTAACATTTCTATTAAGTTCCGGGAAGAAACGATAAAAGTTATGATTCAATACTGTTGTCTGCCTTATTAGATTCGGTATGCAACTCTCTTCAAGTTAATACATCGGCGACTATTAGGAGAGTAGTATAGCTTATTGATAGAGATGTTAAATAACCTACAGCTGAGACTATATATCCGTGATCTTGTGAAGAAAGGCTTATTTCTCTCCGTTTATAAACTAAGGTCTTATATTACTAGGTACATTTAAACTAAGAAAAACGAAGTAGTTAAAACTTACCCTTAGCTTTGAAGTTTATACACTGGCTGTTTATGTCACGAGGTGGAACTAGAAAGCATGAAAATAACTTTGCTATCCCGCAAAAAACCCTGAACTAACCTATATAATCTCATAGCTATATTAGGTATACTGTGTTAAGATTTTAGATATCTCGTTTAATATGCCAATGATTAATTGAGTGTTATATGTACATGTAGTAGTTGCCTGTTGCCTGTTGCTGATTCAAGAAAGGGGTCGATTTAAAAAGGTTCGAAATCTAACCTAATTATTGTCTATTATAACAGTAGTTCGTCTTGGATGCTGACCTGGGCTATTAATAAATAGTTTCGTGGAACTAGTCAGTATATAGCTACTGTTGTCGTATATCTAAAATAGTAAAGTTGGCATTAGAAAAGATCAACATAGTTAATCTGATGCCTATTTAAAATCTTGAAGATGGTGTATTTAAAACATTACATTAACCAACAGTGAATTTGATTCGAATATAAGAAACAAGGAAGTAAATAAGGATTAAACTGCTGTGGGCTTTGTACCTGTATTAAAATGGGAGCCTGGGAATTGGTGATATTCTCTGCTTGGTAGTGTAATAGTTGTAGTTTATTTTACGTTACTATGTGTCGCAAAATGATAGAGGCCTTCGACTTCAGTTACAAGGAAGACTGGGTCTTAAAATTGATTAATTAAGCAAGATAGGCCTTAAGTACGGAATCAATGCGACAGACTTTGATATAATATTTTATGAGTTCTGATCTTCCTTTCTTTACCTCTTTCTGCCGTTCTTACATTTGAACAGGAATTATGTAATGGGTAATGATGAGTAGACTTATTGTACATAAAAAAAGAGAAATTATAACTGTTTTGTCATGAAGCTTCGAAGTGAATAAGGTTAGAAGAATATTGCTCACCGAGTTAAGAGTATAAGTCAAGTAGCTCCTATACCTTAGGTACTGAGAGACAAGTTGCTCATTATTAAATTACTTTAGGTTTAAGCTCTTATAGACTGAACAATCATTTTCATAGGCAGGCACAACTTATTATTCACCAATTACAATGTGGAAGGAACGAAAATACTAGGTAACAATTTATAAGGTTTAGCTAAAGGCCAAACCTTAACATACGCTAGAGAAGAACTATTTTTTTTTAAACAGACGAAACTTCTGTTCGAATACTTTTTTCTTAATACAACTTCGTACTGATCTCAATTGTAAGGCTTACCACTACAACTCTGGGCCAATTCTTGATACATCAGCCTAGGCTCTATAACAGAGATCGGCACTATTATCACTCAGAAAACCCGGGGAAGCTAATAAGGGGTGTGAGAATGTACTATGTAATCGTGGCATGACGCTGCCTTCTCGCACACGACAATAAGCCCCCAAACGAAGAGACCCACAGCTTTTGTCGAATTTGGCAGGTCATCCCCGAGACAATTATGCGATGGAAGTACTCCGGTGTGGAACTGATGCCCGGCAGAAGTTGTGGCCTGGCAAGGAAGTCTTAGGCTTGATCCCATTCGCCTTCTGCCCATGCACCCATACTTCTACCTCGTCAACCAAACCTGTTTGGCTGTATCTGACAATGGGGTCGACCACTGTTCACTGCATGGTGTCGCATAAACTCGGAAATGCGAATTTGTCAGGTCGCAGCTGCAGAGGATCACATCCTTCTACGACTGATAGTTTCTAAGTCGCCGAGAATCCTCTCGTTGCCTGCAAGCTGTCAGGGAAGTGAGCTTTCGTGAGTATTTCGTGGAGCCGGGCGAGCTACCTCGGCCGCGGGCTATTGAACCTAGACAGCCTGCCTTTTGGTGAGGCGTGGAGGTTTCATTAATACGAGATCGATATAGGCCGTCGACGACAGGGTCGAGAACTTAACATGCGTATTATATCCCCCCCGTTCCCTGGCACGGTTCTTTCCATCAGCCTAGGACTCTTCACTACAGAGAGAAGTACAAGTACGAATAGGTACTAATAAAACGCTTAGGCTAGGCAAACAAATACTACGCCTCGTCTTACCTCGCACACCATCACCCTTTTCGCTCGTTAGGCCTCAAGAGTCAGATAGGGCCTGTCGCCCTTTCAGCCCGACGAACACTAATGCACAAGCTTGTCCAAGGGGCTGACCCTGTCACGGCCTTGTAATATTCTCTTCTACACTAAAGTCTGAGATCTTCGTTGCGCGAACGCTGTAAAACACTGCGCAAACTCTCAGGTTGACGGTTGACCGCTTTTAGACGCGTACAAGTTATACAGCGATCACGTCCCGAGGGACTTCAGAGCATATGTCAGCTTGCAATGGTTTTTTTTTAATGCTAAAGAAACTTGCATCCTCTTATGTCCTTACACTGACTCTACGCAGCCCCGATGGAGCCTACACGTTTCGGCCTGCTAAAGTGAGGGTCTAAACACGGTATCAGGTAAATTTTTTTTATAACATTCTAGATCTCTTGTGGAATCGGGATAATCTACGTCTACGACATTCATCTAGATGCGCTAGTTAAACATACACCTAAGCCAGCCTAAGCACGCCTGCGGAAATCGAGCCTCGTGTAAATTGAATTTTATAGAAGCTTCCTAATCTCTATAGCAAGCTCTATGCTGCATTTGCGTTGTGGATATGAAGTCGGAGATTTCGATTGAGCTAAGTCTCCACGGGTCTCATCGCGATAACCACATACAATCAGATCTGAGCATTGCAACACGATATTGGTGTCTTGCATATGACGATGTCAAATGGAAATCTCCGATTGGTTGTGCAGATCGGAGCGGATACTGTCGTTCAACGTCTTATCTGTTCTTATGAGCACAATTAAACAATGTCTAGCCGGGCCTTTCAATCTAAGAGGAGATTGAACGGTTTGTCTTGAAGTATCTCTATGGCCAGCCGGGCTCTCGCTAGGAGCCGCGAGCGGATCACCATCCAATCAAACGGAAAAGACTTCCTTATGAGGAGATCCGATTTTCAGCCTCAACTCGCCAAAGCACTTACAGCAACTTTAGATAAAGAATTGGGCGGTATTCAGACGCGCTATGCAAACATACATAGCAATTATCTCATTTCCGTAGCTCGGCTCCCTTTCAAGTTAGGACTTCAACTACCTATCAAACAGCATTGCCAATTATACATGCATGGCGTGGCGCATAAAGCAAGCCCAAAAGCGGTCGAAAAGCTCGGTCTTTAGACTCGCGCCGATCATGGAGACATTGCTCAGCCTTTTTAATCTCGAAAGCCGTCGATGGGACCATGACAGCTAGATGCTAAGGCTACTAGGTAGGTCCTAGGAGACCTCCGTGCGCCGCGATTTGACATGACAGATCCGGATCGATCGGAATCTGCTGTGCGCTACTAAATCGGATTCTGTCATATTGGCCCCAAGAGATCCGAGCTTTCAACTCTAATCTAACTTGTGAATAGAGACGATGCCGGAAGCGATAAGCCCCATATGGTCCCCTAATGTTATTTATCCCCTAGCATACCCAAGCACGTCCCAGCATTGTCCTCTAAGGTAGGTGTGATAGTCAATTGACACGGCGGGAATGCGTCGCATACTGCAGCCTGCATTGCCGAGACCTTACTGGCTGGTAATCGCAGGCTAGATGGAATGGCAGGCTAGACCTAGCCATCATCCATGCTCACATTGCAGCATGGCTTTCGTGCAGCCAAATTCCCCTAAACGTGTAAATGATGGCTTGTTATGAGCTGCAGCAACAGGGGCGCTCGTTAAGGACCCCTCACTATAAGGCCGGCGGCAGTTGAAACGAGATCCCACACCGCTGGAATATATTACTAGGTAGCGTATATCGCTTGTGCAGAACCTGTGCAGAACCTGTGCAGAACCACGTCAGCATTGACAACAGGGGCGGCACGGTACGCGACGGGTAAATCAGCCATCCATCGTGGTCGCCATGCTTAAGTTACTGCAAAGCCTGCAAAGGTCTTGGAGATCCTGCAACGACAATGGCAGCAGTAGCAGGGATCTACTGACCCTGTTGCGTCTACACGTCTTGGAGAGATAAACGCCGACCGAACTTATCAACATATTACACCAACTATGGCTTCGCAGAGCTTCCTAAAAGTCATACCCATTTCGTCTTTTACTTTATCATGCATGATACGATCCGACCCGACTCAAATTATAAACCATTAAAAACATGGCATAACGTCTCTTTTCCCGAGATGGATTTCTGGGCATGGATATTTATCCCAAATGACAGTTGGTGGGTTAATGCTACGGGAATCTTGATGGCGTACCCTCGTAGATAGCTTCTAGGATACCACGTGCGTATCAGAACAAGCGATGAAGCACGGTACAACCGGTACAACATGTCACTGGGCATGGCGGACGAATAATATGCCAATGTCTCCGCCAACAGAGGAAAATGGGCGGCGCTATATGCAAAAGAGACATAATCTCACCGCAAGACGAGACAGCTGTTACTTGAGTCAACAAACACCTGGAGACTTGTCAGTACCTGACTAGCCGTCTGCCGGGATTCTAGATCAGGAGGTCCCGGCCGAATCTAGCTGACGGGCATTACCTCAAGTTAAGGCTAAGGCAACAACAACAGCCTAACGGCGGAAGGATATATTACCGCGTTGGTAGTATTGCTTGTAGATGTCAGAGTAGCACCGCCATACACAGCTTCTCCAAGAGGCATCTTTCTTTGAGAGGGAAAAGACGGATGTGAGGTCGAGTTGCATGTCATCGGTAGCGTGTAAGAGCCTTCCGTAATGCTTTCTGTGCGAGTACGTGTAAGTTTCGAATCTATATGAGACCATGCACACCACGGCCGGCCAACGGCATGAACGAATTCGAACATCTCGACTCCCCGCGGTCTCCGCAATCGTTGCGCGCCAGGGGCAGCCGAAAGCCAGGAAGCTGAACCATTGGAGGGTGGGAGAACAGCAGCTATACTCGCAGGGAAGACTAGGAATAGTGGATTTGGGGGTTATATCGCAGCCATGTTATATGTGACAATGACAGCGCACACACCACACACTACGCACACCATAAACCATAGGCACACGGACACACACAAGACAATTAACACAACTGCTGCTCAGGACCAATCCGCTGTCTCGGTGGCGAACCTCGGAACCAACCCTCTAACACCCATCCCAGAAGCAACAAGAGCCGGCGTGATTAGCGTGCAGCTCTCTTGAAGGGTACTGTAGATCGAAGTTCCCAGATCAAGAGAACGTGGTACCTAGCTTTCTTTCTTTTTTGCACGTTTTCTCTTCCTTGTTGTTGGCTGTTGGCTGTTGGCTGCTGGCTGCTACTGTTACTGTTACTGTATCTCCGGTTCGAAGGTACTGTACATGGTGTGTCTACCGGTCTACCGTACTTAGGTATGCTATACATGTGAAAGCAAGTCGAGACTTTTTGCACGCACGACTGCGCGTATATATGTGTAATACATATGTGGTATGTGTGTATGTGTGTATGTATATATGTACATACATACATACAATGCCGGACCGCAAGGCGGTGAATCCGGTTTCCGGAATCAGGCCATAGCGCCCATCTAAGGAGGCGTGCTCTTTGAGTTTCGAAACCCGAGGCTACTTGTATGTACGTATGTACGTATGTACGTATGTATGCGTGTAGGTAAGTATTTCTGCGTTATCTGGCAAGCTGGCGGAAAAAACAGGTAAAGCCATGCTATGCCATGGCATGCGCCGCCTCATCTTCCCGCTCCGCTTTGCTCTGGCTTTACTTCCCTTTTTCATGCACAGTATCAACTTGTCGCCGGGGTACCTACGGAGAAACCGCATGGCCCTGGAGCACAGCACAGCCTGTGTGAATTATGAGCCTATTGCAATGCGTATACTGCGTATAATGTCATGTATGTATGTAGATTTTAGGCATCTATCAGCTTTGCTTGTAAGTGGTAGGGGGTTACTTTTGCGGAGTTAGGGGAAGGGAGAGAGACGAAAAGGAACAGTAAGAGAGAAAGATAGAGAAAGAGAGAGAGAGAGCCACAACACGCTTCATGTTTCACGCCCGAAAACTTTCCAGGGGGGGTCTCCAGAGAGGGGGGGGGCAAAAAAATCTCGTGCCCACAAATAAGTGGCTGGTATTATAGACAACAATGACAACAATTCATCGCCTGGACTCTCTCGTTCCTTATCGGGACGGGATTCGATGGGCAAGCTCCGCAGTAAGCTCGTCGCGATGTAACACGAGTCGGTACGAAATCTACTACGTGCTGCTTCGTGGCCTTGTCGAGATTAATACTAACAATACTAACGATACTAATAACGATACTAAAACATAGTACCTGATATGCGGGCCGTTTCAACACCAGCACCACCTCTACCACCACCGCCGCCGCCGCCACTGCATGTCATTGTTAGAACGTTTCAAACATGGCAAACGTGACCTTCGCAGTGGGAATATCGCGAAGACCTTACGGCCAATTGGCAATTATTATTAAGGTACTAAGTATATCAGAAGGTAGTTTAGTCATGAAATATCGTATACGGATTGCCTTTCCTCGGTGGCGTCTCATTGGCTTTCGCCCACGATCTCCTAGCTGTTCTCTTTCACCGGTGTCCAAACCTTTCATGCTGCTCCTACGCACTCGAATGGGGCCGAAAAGTCTTTTGGCCGAAACGTTTTACCTAGCATGGCTAGGCGTGCTTCTCGAAAAGTACGGTGAGGCACATCTTTCTCTCCCTCTCCCTCTCTCTCTCGTGCCCTGTTGTACTTTTGGTATGGTTTTTTTTTTATCCGTGGGTATCTTCTGCCAACTCCTCAATCCGTTGTTCTTCTCTCGGATCCCCGTTTCCCAATCTGCCCGAGCCTGCCGCCAAGTTGCGGTCAACGTAAAAATAATCTGTAGTGTCTTCCTTCCGTTAGGTATGATCCTCGTACCCCCTGCTTCGGTTAGGGTACTGTCGTCGTAGTCATGTGGCGATGGTGATCGAAAAAAAGACAAAGTAGAGTAGAAGCGTTCGTCGTCTCGAAGCGCATGCGTAGTAAATGTATTGACTTGAGTTATTTTGTAAAATCAAACGTGCTTCAAAGCAACACCCCCCCAACCCCCTTCCCCTTTCCCCATGATTTCTAGATTTTAGTCGTCAATGTGTCAATATTACGAATAAAAGGCATGCCTGTCGTAGTTTGGTATCTCTAGTATTAAGCAAGTATCCGCCCCGGAGACCAGGAGAAGGTAAAACCCTGGCCTATTACTATTTGTTGTACAGTATTCCATTGGTGATAATAGTAAATATGTGTTTGTAAACATGCTTGATGCGTCGCGCGTTTTAGATCGGTAATTCCGCAAGGCTAATTAGTCGTAGAGGCATGGTAGAATTCCCCTCTCTTCGTTACTTTTGCCGAGTCGACAACATTTCATGGCCAATTCCTAACTCACGGCTTCCGATGTAAGGTAACGTATTATGGTATTCGACGACGGTGCTGAGTCGTGTCCGTCTTATTGTCACTCTGATCCCAGAGTGTCGGTGATGGTGGCGTCCGCTTCTGGTTACACCTCAACCCTGAAGCTGCTGCGGATAGATGGTGTCCCCAGCCCCAGGAGCTGAAACTCCTGGCGGGGACGCTGATTGCTATAAGTTTTCCTCCCCAACATCCGCCACCTCTCCAGAAAGCTGCGCGGCCCGCTCTCGGCAAGCCTGAGGAGTAAACCCGGGGCCAACTTTGTTGGAAACGAAGCGCCACTTCTCGTTTTCGTAGTCTTGAAGCGCCGTCCGAAGCTTTTGGTCCTGTAAATTTGTAATTAACATCCGCATGCCGGCAAACCCGCGTAAATTGTGCACGTTAGTCAAGGTGAACTTACTGTCTCGTCTGTCCATTGAGTCGTCTTTGCTTTGAGCTTCGTACAATACCGGACTTGGAGTGTACCCGAGGAACGCCCCGGGAAGAAGTCGGCAATCTGTTTCCACGTCAAGCTTTTGTTTTCCTTCAGATCGATAAGTAGTGCGTCATCTTCCGGCGTAAACTTTAGCTTCGGCCCTCTTGGCCTCGGTGCCGGCGGTGGCATTCCGGCTTGTCCTACTACGCTCGGAGCGCCACCCCCAGCGGCCCCCATGCTTCCGTCACCTTCGCGTCTCATCATCTTCGAAGGCGGCCCTTGATCTGGTAAACGGTGATGATGGTGAGTTGGAGCTGCGCCGGAAGACTGCGCATATGGAGCTCCCATAGACTGCTGCATGTTATCTAGATCGCCTGATTCAAGTTCAGACATCCCGCCGGATAAGTCAAGGTCGTCTGGACGACTGCGTTTCGTCCCAGCGCTATGCGGCTGAGTAGGCGTCATAGCCGGGTATAACGGCGGACCAACCACGGAGTGAGGCGACTGTGTTGGGCCGTAGTGTGAAGGCTGATGAGCCATATGGCGAGCGGCCGGATGGCCGCCGAGATGCGCCGGATCCATTAGGATCTGGTGGTGATGGGTGGGGTGATGCTGCGACATGGTGTGGTGAGAGTGCGACTGCGCTGATTCATGTAAACTCCCGTGTCCCGCGTGCTGCATTGGATTTCCTCTGTGGTGATGCGTGTCGTATGCGTGTTGAGACTGACTCTGCTCGCCCGGATGCGATTCTTGTGGAGAGTAATCGACATTGTAGTCCGGTCCTACTCGATAGTTGCCCGCCAGCGTGCCGTCGATGCATGGGTTCCGCCAGAGCGAACCGCTCTGGACGGTCGCCGGAGTCTGTATGGAAAGAATTTGATGGACTGGAGCCCCTCGGGGCTGCTGATGTGCGGGCGGTTGTAAGTTGGGAGGGCGAGTCTCGCGCGTGGGATCGATGATGATGCCCGTCCTGTCGGATTGGGGTTGAATAATTAGTAGGCTGAGCACTTACTTGCCCAGCAGCCGAGTACATATGCTGGTGCAGTAGTAGTCGTCGGTGAGTTGGTCAGGTGCGGGACGTTGTAGGATTGTGTGGTGTTAAGGTAAGATCGTCTTGCAGGGCGGCGAATATCCGTAAGCCAAAGAAATAAAAATCAAGTTCGGGGCAGCCCGCGTAGACTCTTTAACAGCTCACTGGCACCCAAGCTTGGCCGAGAGTATGGGGATCCGTCCTTTTTCTTGGATTCCTTAGCTGGGTCTATTATATGGTAACAAAACGTCAAAGTGGAAAATGAACAGCAGCGGGCAAGGGATGCATTATATCGTCTGATCTTCTTTTCTCGTTTCTGTCCAGGCATGGACGAGCTAGGGAACGACCCGCAAGTACTATGACAACCTAGAACTACCTCTCTTTTTTCATCCACAAGTTAAAGCACTTGGCCTGATTTGCCATGTGCGAGACAAGTATCGTTCCTGAACGGGTGTGGAGATTCGGTTACCTCGCCCGGCGATGACGGTAGCATAATTTGGTGATCTTATGCCATGGTCAGCTTGCCGGATATAGAAGATACCCCAGCCGGAGGTTATGATGCAACTGGGGCAACGATAAACCCACAACGGGTGAGGTACTCGGACACTGACAGGGTGAGAAAGTACCAGTTGTCTTCTTGTGACCCTGGTCGAGTTCTTCCCCAAATAAGATTGCCAAAGGTCTAAGTAATTCCAAAGAGAGGAACGTCTGGAAAACGCATAGAAGCTTACAAAACGAGACGGCCGAATAGAGAAATGAACAGCTGAAACGGGACCTACCGCGCAGTTGGGCAGTGTCTGTAGAGCATGACAAGCGAATTATCGAGGTGGGCCGCACCCAGGCTCACGACAGAATGGGCCCCTGTTCAACCTTTTTTTTTTCAACCAGGGAAGCCAAGGCAGTGGGCAATCCCCGGAGGGTCAGAATGCCGGTTGACTGGATGTACTGGATGTGTATTTACGTGTATTAAGTGGCGCGCCCAAGCTCGGCTGCTAGGGCAGTTAGAAAGGAATGGGTCACTCTCTCCCTCGTCCGCTTGGAGGGGATATATTGGAACTGGGGTGGGCTATAATAAGAATTAAGAGAGCTCTGATCCCTGACACGCCATAGGGCGAGTGAAATTGGCAAGGTAGCAAGTAGCCACAGAACGCGTTTGACAGATTGCCGAGCAAAAAACAAGGGAAAGTATGACACTAGAGCCACTAACGGTCTGCTCCCAGGGTAATCTGGCAGCGCAGCAGGCGACCTGGCGACCTCGAAGTCGCAACACCCATGTATACTGGGACCTGGTTTCTATGTGGTTTCTATGTCAGCAGATTTATCGAGCTATGCTGGGACGTGTAGGGATATGTTAGAGGTAGGGGTAAAGGGGGGTCGTAGATGGAGATGGGAACAGAAATAACAACAGCCAACAGAGATTAGCAGACTCACGTTTCGGGAGATACTATGATGATGATGATGCTTGGATCACCAAGCGGGAGCGATGGGGCTTGAGATACTTGGCGGGATAGCTAAGCAGGGTCATGTTGGACACGATTCTCTCTCCTAGTCCTCTCTCGTCTAAGGTACATGTCAAGCGACTAAAAGTCGTCATCGTACCGTTAATCTAGAAATGGTACCTCGCCGAATGCTAGCGGACGGTCCAGAGATTGGGGGCAAGTGGTTCCAATTCTCTGGATCCCGGTTCTAGGGCATCGTAATATTGCGCGATTCAATGCGATTGACGTGGGAGGTCCAATAGGCGGTGGGACGTCGAGGCTGGTTAGGCTAGGCCATTTGAACAACGGTGTAGAGCTGAGGAACCTATGTAGAAGGACAGGAGCTTCGGGGATGGAGCTCTCGCATGAACAAAACACGTTTCAATACTTCCAAGCAATCAAAAGATCAATTATGCAATTTGACCATCATGTCGGCTTCTAGAAGAATGGAAATTGCTTCTAGGGCGTGACCAGGAGTGTTTCAGACGTCTGAGCCGCCTCGTCTGGTACTAGTCCGTGCGGAGTTGCGATGTCGAACGAGAAGCGCATAGATGGAAGTTTGACAATTGGCAATTGATAATTGATAATTGATAATTGAGGAATAGAAGCAAAAGTGGAATCACAGCTAAGAGAAATGATGTCAAGGAAGTCGTAGAGAAAGAACTGCAAGATCGGAAATTGCGAGCGATCTGCGTATAGGCAGGTACGGAAAGTAAAGTTTAGCTAGACATGTACATAATACGTAAAGTTCGGGCCTAATCCGAGGGTAAGGTACAGAACTGTGCTCAACCGGGCTATTATTAGAAATCCCCTAGTGTATAGCTACCTAGCTCTAGCTCTAGCTCTCAGCTCGATAGCTACCCATACCTTGCTTTGTGCACGGAAGGAAAGAATTAAGATCCCAGCACTATCAAACATTTTGAATCTTTTTTGTTTGTTTGTTTGTTCTTTTGGAGAATAGGAAAGCGCATACGGAGATGGAGGCGCCTGTAGTTTCTGAACGAATAGAACAAAATGTAGGTTCCCCTTACCCCTGAGACCCAACTCCGTCCTTTCTTACAAGTTACAACTACCGACGCATTACACATAAACGAAGACAAATAGAGCATTATCTCCATTTTCGGATAAAGCGCAAGCATTGGCATGTTAATTATAGGACGCATTGTCAATTACGGTCTTCTCGGCCTTTCTTCTAGAAGAATTCTATTTCAAGAGCCCTGTCATTATGTCTCATCCCCCCCCTCGGCCCCCTACCTGCATCCGACCGCTTGGGTGGACCGCTGCGGCCCATAGCATGTCCTGCTTTGCATGCACGCAAGGGACAATGCAGCCAATTTAAAGCTCTCTTGTCTGTCGTGTAGCGTCGCGGGGCTGGAGATAGCTTCAAGTTGAAGTAAATTTATTTACGCAGCTCATTTGATAGGTATTTACGAGTAGGACATTTGTCTTGGTTTATGCATTACTTCCTTATCATAGCGTAATGCTGTAGCGCGATGCGATGCGATGCGATGCGATACGATGCTGCATTCGGTTCTCTAAGCGCTTAGCTCCGACAGGAGTCCATCTACCTGTCGGTGAGGAGTTGGCATTGTTCATCAATGCTCTATCTTCTAACGCTCGCAAGTTGTTACCACCAACATCCGTGTCTCCTGATCTGCACAACCGGGTAGCTGGTCATCAGACAACAATCCTTTTACGGAATGCCTGTAATCAAGATTCAATTAATTTTTTTTTTACGGAGATTCTAAGGTTGTAGTTTTCTATTCTTGAGACGCGTAATGGATACAATGTTCTCCGTCTCCGTCTCCCTTCATGTTTTGGACCGTTTCAAGCTCCACTTTCACATTGGAGCTCCGTGTTATACCAAAGACCCACTTCTCTATACCGCTGGTTTACATAGCATCGAGTATCGGCACTTACAGCTGAAGCTCAACTGTGGTTAGGAGAGATTGTATCGGACTGGCCGCTATTACACGGAGCATCGCTGGATATCTCAACAAATTTTAGTATGCAGATGAGTTGCATGACTCTGATATTACGTCCAAAGTAACTCGACGTTAGGTTTTAACCAAAGCAAACTGGCAACTCTTTACTTTATCGGTATTATTGCCTTTCTATAAGAACCGGGAAGCTCCGTTTGTTACTTGAATCGTTAATGGTTATACAGCGTCAGGTATTCAGCATCAGGTCAGCCTCACTCCAGATGGTTGCGTGCCGAATAACCATGTCGATAATGCACATCCCACTGGGGAAACACTCCTTGACAGGCTAGGTACATTGTGGGGATCACAGACCTTAACTGTCAGACTGTTGCGCATGGACAGCGGGTATGAAGTACAGAAGTACAGAAGTACACACAGCCTGCAGCGCTATCTATGTAGCCCTGGCTAGAAAATCTCCGCAACGTTCACGACCCTCGCTCGCCCAGAGATCCGGTTAGATATTGTATTCCGTACTGGTACATACGATGACAGGACTACATACGTAACCTTTCCCCAGCTTGTCAGTATATACGACGTTACAAAGTGGACTCTCTAGAACGACTAACTAGCCTAAGCTAGCAATAGATCAAATGTCTAATAAGATCCATAAGAGGATCTAACCTGATCTACACGAGAGTCCAGGTATGAGCGCATGAACGCATAAAGAAGAGCAATTTGCTTTCTTATACCCTCTTCGCTCGATTTAGTATGCCCATTTCGGCGGCGCCATAACTTCGGCACCAACGTGTGTCCCAAGCTCCTTGCTTAAACTGGCAGCTCTCATCTCAGCTCTTCATCTCCATTGCGGCGAGAAGAGAATGAATCCCTCCCAATCAGTCACTGATCTCCAATTATGCATTTCGTTCCAAAGCCCGCCCCCCTTGTAAACTCACCCAACCTATCATCCCCCCACTCGTCTTTCCCTCCCGCCGATTATTAAGCTACTAACTAACCCGTCCCATAGTATAAGTACATGTGCGTGCTCATCCCGCGCTAGGACGACGAGCTAGTTGCCAGGCTCGGAGAACTTGCCAGCCCAGCGCGGAGGATTTACCGGTTCTACGATTAGGGATTACGGGCGGCTGGGGGGTTATCAAGTTCCATCTATCGCGCTTAAGTGAGCGAGCTCGTAGGATTTTAGGTACACATCGCTACGGGATTGGGCAGCGATCGAGACCTCTAGTTTTGCTTTTTTTCCCTCTTGCTCGCCGCCGAGCCCCCGCTGCGTTCATCAGCGCGAAAGTTGGGGGTAGGAAGTAGGATACCTAGAGCTTGGCTTTCATGCGAAGTGCCTGCATACGGTAGTAGACTATATGCGACCAACCGGCCCAGGGACGGCCTCTATGTAACCAACTTCCTGCGGCCGCTTTCTTAACCACTTTGCGCCGCATCTACATTCCCCATCCGGGTTTGGCCTGAGCTAATAACGTCGTCCATCAAGAAAAATCTATGATATACCGAACTAACTTGGTCGCTAAAACTCCGCTACTCCACCCCAGAGTCGGGTGTGCAATCCAGATCGATGCTCGAGCGGGCAACCTGTCAAAATCGTGCAGGCTATCATCAGCCTTGATCTCCACATCCGCCTCATTTGATAATTGACGGGCGGGCACGAGCTCGGCGTGGTACATGCCTTATAGGTACCTGGGCCGAACCTGGGTAGCATTCAGCCCTCGAGGATTCTGGGGAGGGGAAAGAGGGCCCAAGCTTCTTTTAGAACAAAATTATATCGCAATGCGGAATAATGGTGATCGCAAAGTCACGCACACGCACTTTCGGTTCCGAGTCCATGGTTGTGGGGGTATTATCACATTCTCGTATACATAAGGTACTACATATAATAAGATGTAGCTGATGTAGCTGATGTTACAATGAGGTACGTACCGACCCGGCATAATACCTTTAAGGTAAGCAGATAGAAATAGCAATATGGGAAAAGAAAAAAAAAATTACATCAATGCTCTCTTAGGTCAGAGCTGAGCCTTTATCCCCGAACTTCGTAATTCAATCCATTTTTCTTAAACGCCATAGAAAAATACTAGCAAGCACACCACCACCAATCACATCGCCGGTTTTGGAAATGCTATTGTAATGCATCATTTCATCTCATCCCTATTCCTATTATCATCTCCCATTCATAGATGGCGGTTTGTTCTTCCCTCCATAGCCACCCCTCAAAATAGCCAAGGTAATTAAGCAAAGTTGTCGCTTCTGTCAACACCCGGGTCTTCCATCTCCGTGAAGTCGTGGAAGTGCTCGGGGCGGTGCTGATCGCTATAGAACGGCAGCGGTGTGTCAAGCTTGACGTGTACCGGCTTCTTCTCTAGGCCGATGAAGTTACTGCCCATAAAATTATAGTTCCACTTTCCGTCCTCCGGTACGAGGAAGAATCCTCTGTACCGCGGGCTGAGCAGAAGCTTGCGCTTGACTCCCATAGAAGTTGCAAATCCTGCCGGCGAGTCGCTGCCGAGATCCTTATTTTCGACACCCCATCGGTATCCCGCGGGGGTCAACGCCCAAGCAGATAGGGAGACGGAGCCGGGCGTGAAGGATACGTCAATCGTCACGGTCTTTTCCTTGTCCCACTTTTGATGCCGGTCGAGGTTCTGGGCGTGCATCGTGACGTCAACCGCAGACATGTACGGAAGTTCGTTGCCGGCCATAGTGTGGATCACACCGAGAGGTTCCATATTCGCGAGATATTCGTGCTGCGGCAGTTGGTGGGGCGCTTGGGTATAGCGCAGGTTACCTATTTGAGGAACCATGACAATACAACGGATCTCCTTGACTTGGTCATTATCTGGCGCAGAAACACCATATAGGTACCCTGCAATTTGTACACGAAGATCGGCAATAGTAATAAACTTTTTCAGGATGTTGTTAGGCATGACGTAAGTGATGTCGTCCAAATCATTGTCAACGGACGAGACGTAGATATTGTTGGCTCGGGTTCGTAGGTTCGAGGTAGCAATGGCTCTGGTACGCCATTCCGTCTTGGACGAAAACTTCTCTTGTTCAAATCTTGAAGTGGTGGTAACGATAAGCTCTTCACCATGGACGTTTTGAGTCTTCGTAGTAACGGCAGTAATTTGCTGCTGCTCCTGCTGTTGCTTCTCAATCTCCGCAGCCTGCTGTCGTTGCATCGACGGCGCAGAAATCTCCATACCTAAGATAATATCTCGGACTTCGCTGCTCGTCAAGCTGGAGACGTTGACATTGTTCTTCTTTCCATAGTCATGCAGAATCAAATCTCGTAGTTGTGTTTCAACCTTGATCCAGTCTTCATCCGACAACGTGGGCCAAATATGGTGCACTTGAGTTATAACAGTCTTGTCGGGTCGTAGAATGAGTTTTGTCTTGTCCGGGTTAACGTGAAGTGCACGTAGGATGAGAACAAGACGAGAGAACGCCGTGTATGACGAGATGCTCTTAAGCCATTCATCGTAGAGGTTGAACAGAACCATCTGAGGTTCCGTAGCACGGAGAATCATATCACCTAATTTCTCGACCTTCATTGCCGCCTGGAAGGGCAACTGCAGTTCTGACGCTCGAATGGAGATGTTCGGGAAATCTAACAAGTGAACTTCGAGAGGATCTAGCAGGCCTTTACGAGTAACAATAAGCTCCTTCGGCTGTTCTTCAACTGGTAGCGATCGGATGAGAGCTGCAACTTCTTCAGCCGTCTTCCACTTGGCTAGCTGACCGAGACGCTTTTGTCCAGC